TAAAAATGTTGTGAGGATAATAATAAAGATGAAACATTAATCCAAACTGTAAATAACAGATTGACAAACACCTGAAGGCCAGAGCATAGAACAGCTGAAATGTTGTGAGGATAATAATAAAGATGAAGAACATTAGTCAACTGTAAATAACAGACACAATACCAAAGAAGGCCAGAGCATAGAACAGCTGGGAAATGTTGTGAGGATAATAATAAAGATGAAGAACATTAGTCAACTGTAAATAACAGATTGACAAAGCTGAAACCTGAAGAAGGCCAGAGCATAGAACAGCTGAAATGTTGTGAGGATAATTAAAGATGAAGAACATTAGGTAAATAGATTGACAAAATGAAGAAGTCCAGAGCATAGAAACATGAAATGTTGTGAGGAATAAAGATGAAGAACATTAGTCCAACTGTAAATAACAGATTGACAAATACCTGAAGAAGGCCAGAGCATAGAACAGCTGAAATGTTGTGAGGATAATAATAAAGATGAAGAACATTAGTCCAACTGTAAATAACAGATTGACAAATACCTGAAGAAGGCCAGAGCATAGAACCACTGAAATAAGTTGTGAGATAATAATAAAGATGAAGAACATTAGTCCAACTGAAATGATTTACCTGAAGAAGGCCAGAGCGTAGAGGAAATGTTGTGAGGATAATAATAAAGATGAAGAACATTAGTCCAACTGTAAATAACAGATTGACAAATACCTGAAGAAGGCCAGAGCGTAGAAAATACAATAAAGATGAAATGTTGTGAGGATAATAATAAAGATGAAGAACATTAGTCCAACTGTAAATAACAGATTGACAAATACCTGAAGAAGGCCAGAGCATAGAACAGCTGAAATGTTGTGAGGATAATAATAAAGATGAAGAACATTAGTCCAACTGTAAATAACAGATTGACAAAATACCTGAAGAAGGCCAGAGCATAGAACAGCTGAAATGTTGTGAGGATAATAATAAAGATGAAGAACATTAGTCCAACTGTAAATAACAGATTGATAAACACCTGAAGAAGGCCAGAGCATAGAACAGCTGAAATGTTGTGAGGATAATAATAAAGATGAAGAACATTAGTCCAACTGTAAAATAACAGATTGACAAATACCTGAAGAAGGCCAGAGATAATAATAAAGATAGAACAGCTGAAATGTTGAAATAATAATAAAGATGAAGAACATTAGTCCAATAAAATAATAGATTGACAAAGATGAAGAAGGCCAGAGCGTAGAACAGCTGAAACTGAAAACATTAGTCCAACTGTAAATAACAGATTGACAAATACCTGAAGAAGGCCAGAGCATAGAACAGCTGGAAATGTTGTGAGGATAATAATAAAGATGAAGAACATTAGTCCAACTGTAAATAACAGATTGACAAACACCTGAAGAAGGCCAGAGCGCAGAACAGCTGAATGTTGTGAGAGGATAATAATAAAGATGAAGAACATTATCCAACTGTAAATAACAGATTGACAAACACCTGAAGAAGGCCAGAGCGCAGAACAGCTGAAATGTTGTGGAGGATAATAATAAAGATGAAGAACATTAGCAGTAGAACAGCCAGAGGAATAATAAAATGAAGTAAATAACAGATTGACAAAACACCTGAAGAAGGCCAGAGCGTAGAACAGCTGAAATGTTGTGGGAGGATAATAATAAAGATGAAGAACATTATCCAACTGTAAATAACAGATTGATAAACACCTGAAGAAGGCCAGAGCATAGAACAGCTGAAATGTTGTGAGGATAATAATAAAGATGAAGAACATTAGTCCAACTGTAAATAACAGATTGACAAACACCTGAAGAAGGCCAGAGCAGAGAACAGCTGAAATGTTGAGAGGATAATAATAAAGATGAAGAACATTAGTCCAACTGTAAATAACAGATTGACAAACACCTGAAGAAGGCCAGAGCGTAGAACAGCTGAAATGTTGTGAGGATAATAATAAAGATGAAGAACATTAGTCCAACTGTAAAATAACAGATTGACAAACACCTGAAGAAGGCCAGAGGTAGAAATGTTGTGAGATAATAATAAAGATGAAGAACATTAGTCCAACTGTAAATAACAGATTGCTGAAGAAGGAGAGCGTAGAACAGCTTGTTGAGGATAATAAAGATGAAGAACATTAGTCCAACTGTAAATAACAGATTGACAAACACCTGAAGAAGGCCAGAGCATAGAACAGCTGAAATGTTGTGAGGATAATAATAAAGTTGAAGAACATTAGTCCAACTGTAAATAACAGATTGACAAATATCTGAAGAAGGCCAGAGCATAGAACAGCTGAAACAACAGAGGATAATAATAAAGATGAAGAACATTAGTCCAACTGTAAAATAACAGATTGACAAACACCTGAAGAAGGCCAGAGCATAGAACAGCTGAAATGTTGTGAGGATAATAATAAAGATGAAGAACATTAGTCCAACTGTAAATAACAGATTGACAAATACCTGAAGAAGGCCAGAGCATAGAACAGCTGAAATGTTGTGAGGATAATAATAAAGATGAAGAACATTAGTCCAACTGTAAATAACAGATTGACAAATACCTGAAGAAGGCCAGAGCATAGAACAGCTGAAATGTTGTGAGGATAATAATAAAGATGAAGAATATTAGTCCAACTGTAAATAACAGATTGACAAAAACACGAAGAAGGCCAGAGCACAGAACAGCTGAAATGTTGTGAGGATAATAATAAAGATGAAGAACATTAGTCCAACTGTAAATAACAGATTGACAAAACACCTGAAGAAGGCCAGAGCACAGAACAGCTGAAATGTTGTGAGGATAATAATAAAGATGAAGAACATTAGTCCAACTGTAAAATAAACAGATTGACAAAATAACAGATTGACAAATTACCTGAAGAAGGCCAGAGCATAGAACAGCTGAAATGTTGTGAGGATAATAATAAAGATGAAGAACATTAGTCCAACTGTAAAATAACAGATTGACAAATACCTGAAGAAGGCCAGAGCATAGAACAGCTGGAAATGTTGTGAGGATAATAATAAAGATGAAGAACATTAGTCCAACTGTAAAAACAGATTGACAAGTACCTGAAGAAACATAGAACAAATAAAATGTTGTGAGGATAATAATAAAGATGAAAACATTAGTCCAACTGTAAATACAGATTGCTGAAGAAGGCCAGAGTAGAACAGCTGAAATGTTGTGAGATAATAATAAAGATGAAGAACATTTATCCAAATGTAAAATAACAGATGACAAACACCTGAAGAATATTAGAAACAGCTGAAATGTTGTGAGGATAATAATAAAAGATGAAGAAATATTAGTCCAACTGTAAATAACAGATTGACAAATACCTGAAGAAGAGATGCAGAACAGCTGAAATGTTGGGGAGGATAATAATAAAGATGAAGAAACATTAGTCCAACTGTAAATACAGATTGACAAAACACCTGAAGAAGGCCAGAGCATAGAACAGCTGAAATGTTGTGGAGGATAATAATAAAGATGAAGAACATTAGTCCAACTGTAAATAACAGATTGACAAACACCTGAAGAAGGCCAGAGAACGAGAATGTTGTGGAGGAAATGTTGTGAAGAGGATAATAATAAAGATGAAGAACATTAAACAGCTGAAAACTGTGGAGGAAATAACAGATTGAACAACAACTAACAGATTGAAGAAGGCCAGAGCATAGAACAGCTGAAATGTTGTGAGGATAATAAAGATGAAGAACATTAGTCCAACTGTAAACAACAGATTGACAAACACCTGAAGAAGGCCAGAGCACAGAACAGCTGAAATGTTGTGAGGATAATAATAAAGATGAAGAAATTATTAGTCCAACTGTAAATAACAGATTGACAACACCTGAAGAAGGCCAGAGCGCAGAACAGCTGAAATGTTGTGAGGATAGATGACAAAAGACTGAAGAACAAACATTAGTCCAACAGCTGAAATGTTGTGGGAGGATAACAATAAAGATGAAGAACATTAGTCCAACTAAATAACAGATTGACAAACACCTGAAGAAGGCCAGAGCGTAGAACAGCTGAAATGTTGTGAGGATAATAATAAAGATGAAGAACATTAGTCCAACTGTAAATAACAGATTGACAAATACCTGAAGAAGGCCAGAGCGTAGAACAGCTGAAATGTTGTGAGGATAATAATAAAGATGTCCAACTAAATAAAGAACATTAGTCTGAAATGTTGGGTGAGGATAATAAAGATGAAGAATACTAGTCCAACTGTAAATAACAGACGATAAAATACCTGAAGAAGGCCAGAGCGTAGAAACAGCTGAAATGTTGTGGAGATAATAATAAAAGATGAAGAAACATTAGTCCAACTGTAAATAACAGATTGACAAATACCTGAAGAAGAAGGCCAGAGCATAGAACAGCTGAAATGTTGTGAGGATAATAATAAAGATGAAGAACATTCAATCCAATTGACAAAATATGAAGATTGACAAATACCTGAAATGAAGAACATTAGTCTAATTGTAAATAACAGCTGACAAATATTAGAGTGAACAGGATAATAATAAGATGAAGAACATTAGTCAACTGTAAATAACATTGACAAACACCTGAAGAAGGCCAGAGCGTGGGAACAAAGGAAATGTTGTGAGGATAATAATAAAGATGAAGAAACATTATTCCAACTGTAAATAATAGATTGACAAATACCTGAAAAGGCCAGGCATAGAACAGCTGAAATGTTGTGAGGATAACAATAAAGATAAAGAAATATTAGTCAACTGTAAATAAATAGATTGACAAATACCTGAAGAAGGCCAGAGCATAGAACAGCTGAAATGTTGTGAGGATAATAATAAAGATGAAGAACATTAGTCCAACTGTAAATAACAGATTGGACAAACACCCGAAGAAAGCCAGAGCATAGAACAGCTGGAAATATTGTGAGGATAATAATAAAGATGAAAGAAACATTAGATTCAAAACTGCCAAAGAACAGAAATTGAGGACAAATACCTGAAAGAAAGGCTAGAAGAAGGCCAGAGCATAGCATAATAAAGATGAAGAAAAAATGTTGTGAGATGAAGAAAGAATAGATGAAGAACATTATGATAATAATAAAAGATGAAGAACATTAGTCCAACTGTAAATACAGATTGACAAAGGCCAGAGCATAGAATAGCTGAAATGTTGTGGAGGATAACAAAGATGAAAAAACATGTCCAAATGTAAATAACAGATTGACACCTGAAGAAGGCCAGAGCATAGAACAGCTGAAATGTTGTGAGGATAATAATAAAGATGAAGAACATTAGATCAACTGAAATAACAGATTGATAAACACCTGAAAATGAAGCATAGAAGACAACTGAAATATTGTGAGGATAATAATAAAGATGAAGAACATTAGTCAACTGTAAATAACAGATTAACAAACACCTGAAAGAAGGCCAGAGCATAGAACAGCTGAAGCCTTGGGATAATAATAAAAGGTGAGAGAACATTAGTCCAACTGTAAATAACAGATTAACAAATGCCTGAAAGAAGGCCAAGAACATACAACATCTGAAAATGTTGTGAGGATAATGTAAAAGATCAAGAACATTAGTCAACTGTAAATAACAGATTGACAAACACCTGAAAGAAAGGCCAGAGCGTAGAACAGCTGAAATATTTGTGAGATAATAATAAAAAGATGAAAACATTAATCAACTGTAAAATAACAGATTGACAAACACCTAGAAGGCCAAGAGCAATAGAACAGCTGAAATGTTGTGAGGATAATAGCAAGATGAAAAACATTAGTCCAACTGTAAACAACAGATTGACAAACACCTGAAGAAGGCCAGAGCGTAGAACAACTGAAATGTTGTGGGGAGATAATAATAAAGATGAAGAACATTAGTCCAACTGTAAATAAACAGATTGACAAACACCTGAAGAAGGCCAGAGAAGAAACTGGAAATGTTGTGAGGATAATAATAAAGATGAAGAAACATTAGTCCAACTGTAAATAACAGATTGACAAAACCTGAAGAACCAGACAGAAAGGCAGAGGATAATAATAAAGATGAAGAACATTAGTCCAAGAACAGATAAACACCTGAAGAAGGCCAGAACAGAACAGTTGTGAGGATAATAATAAAGATGAAGAACATTAGTCCAATTGTAAAATAACAGATTGACAAATACCTGAAGAAGGCCAGAGCATAGAACAGCTGAAATGTTGTGAGGATAATAATAAAGATGAAGAACATTAGTCCAACTGTAATAACAGATTGACAAAACTGAAGAAGGCCAGAGCGTAGAACAAAGAAAAAGGGGAGGATAATAATAAAGATGAAGAACATTAGTCCAACTGTAAATAACAGATTGCGTAGAAGAACAGCTGAAAGAGCATAGAAATGACAAACACCTGCCAGAGGATGGGAATTAATAAAGATGAAGAATATTAGTCCAACTGTAAATAACAGATTGACAAACACCTGAAGAAGGCTGGGTAGAATAGAACAGTTGAAATGTTGGGGAGGATAATAATAAAGATGAAGAATATTAGTTCAACTGTAAATAACAGATTGACAAACACCTGAAGAAGCTAGAGCCAGCTGGAAATGTTGGGGAGGATACAATAAAGCAAGAAACAACTGAAATGTTGTGAGGATGAATAAAGATGAAGAACATTAGTCCAACTGTAAATAACAGAATGTTGTGAAAACAGCTGAAATAATAATAAAAGATGAAGAACATTAGTCCAACTGTAAATAAACAGATTGACAAACACTGAAGAAGAGGCCTGAAAGGCCGTAAAAACAGGAAAGTAGAAGAAGCTGAAAATGTTGTGAGGATAATAAAGATGAAGAACATTAGTCCAACTGTAAATAACAGATTGTTGAAGAAGGATAAGAAAGCTAAAGATGAGGATAATAATAAAGATAAAGAACATTAGTAAATAACAGATTGACAAATACCTGAAGAAGGCCAGAGCGTAGAACAGCTGAAATGTTGTGAGGATAATAATAAAGAATAAAGAACATTAGTCCAACTGTAAATAACAGGATTGACAAATACCTGAAAGAAGGCCAGCGTAGTAGAACAGCTGAAATGTTGTGGATAATAATAAAGATGAAGAACACAGTCCAACTAAAAGGCCAGGATTGACAAATACCAAAAGCCAGAGCATAGAAATGTTGTGAGGATAACAAAGATGAAGAAATGTTGTGAGGATAATAATGAAAAGATGAAGAAAGCATTAGTGAAAACTGGTAAATAAGATGAAGAACATTGACAAATACAGATTGAAGAAGGCCAGAGCGTAAACAACCGAAATGTTGTGAGGATAATAATAAAGATGAAGAACATTAGTCCAACTGTAAATAAACAGATTGACAAATACCTGAAGAAGAAGGCCAGAGCATAGAACAGCTGAAATGTTATGAGGATAATAATAAAGATGAAGAAACATTAGTCCAACTGTAAATAATAGATTGACAAACACCTGAAGAACAGAAAGAGGATAATAAAGATGAAGAACATTAGTCCAACTGAAATAGTTGTGAGGATAATAAAGATGAATAAAACATGAAGTCCAACAACTGTAAATAATAGATTGACAAATACCTGAAGAAGGCCAGAGCACAGAACAGCTGAAATGTTGTGAGGATAATAATAAAAGATGAAGAACATTACAACTGTAAATCCAACTGTAAATAACAGGATTAAAGATGAAGAAATTACCTGAATAAAGATTGACAAACAATTAAAGAAGGCAGAATAGAACAGCTGAAATGTTGTGAGGATAATAATAAAAGATGAAGAACATTAGTCAACTAAAAATTGTAGAGCGAAATAACAGATTGAAGAAAGCAGTCCAACTGTAAATAACAGATTGACAAAAGAAGAAGCCAGAGCGTAACAGCTGAAATGTTGTGAGGATAATAATAAAGATGAAGAACAGTTAAATAACAGATTGACAAATACCGAAGAAGGCCAGACATAGAACATGAAATGTTGTGAGGATAAAAAGATGAAGTACATTAGTCCAACGTAAATAACAGACACCTGAAGAACAGCTGAAATGTTGTAGATAAACAGCTGAAATAGTTGTGATTGACAAACACCTGATAATAATAGAAATGAAAGATTAATAAAGTCAACTGTCCAACTAAATAACAGATTGACAAATACCTGAAGAAGGCCAGAGCGTAGAAACAGCTGAAATGTTGTGGAGGATAATAATAAAGATGAAGAACATTAGTCCAACTGTAAATAACAGATTGACAAATACCTGAAAAGAAGGCCAGAGCATAGAACAGCTGAAATGTTGTGAGGATAATAATAAAGATGAAGAACATTAGTCCAACTGTAAATAACAGATTGACAAACACCTGAAGAAGGCCAGAGCATAGATAATAATAAACAGCTGAAATGTTGTGAGGATAATAATAAAGATGAAGAACATTAGTCCAACTGTAAATAACAGATTGACAAAAAACACCTGAAGAAGGCCAGAGCATAGAACAGCTGAAATGTTGTGAGGATAATAATAAAGATGAAGAACATTAGTCCAACTGTAAATAACAGATTGGACAAACACCTGAAGAAGGCCAGAGCGTAGAAAAACAGCTGAAATGTTGTGGAGGATAATAATAAAGATGAAGAACATTAGTCCAACTGTAAATAACAGATTGACAAACACCTGAAGAAGGCGTAGAACAGCTGAAAGAGGATAATAATAAAAGATGAAAAGAACATTAGTCCAACTGAAATGATTGACAACACCTGAAGAAGGATAGAAAGCCGAAAGATGTGGGATAATAATAAAGATGAAGAACATTAGTCCAACTGTAAATAACAGATTGACAAATACCTGAAGAAGGCCAGAGCATAGAACAGCTGAAATGTTGTGAGGATAATAATAAAGATGAAGAACATTAGTCCAACTGTAAATAACAGATTGACAAACACCTGAAGAAGGCTAGAGAGCGTAGGATAAACAGCTGAAGAAATAGTTGTGAGGATAATAATAAAAGATGAAGAACATTAGTCCAACTGTAAATAACAGATTGACAAATACCTGAAGAAGGGCCAGAGCGTAGAACAGCTGAAATGTTGTGAGGATAATAATAAAGATGAAGAACATTAGTCCAACTGTAACAACAGATTGAAAAACACCTGAAGAAGGCCAGAGCATAGAACAGCTGAAATGTTGTGAGGATAATAATAAAGATGAAGAACATTAGTCCAACTGTAAATAACAGATTGACAAATACCTGAAGAAGGCCAGAGCACAGAAACAGCTGAAATGTTGTGAGGATAATAATAAAGATGAAGAACATTAGTCCAACTGTAAATAACAGATTGACAAACACCTGAAGAAGGCCAGAGCATAGAACAGCTGAAATGTTGTGAGGATAATAATAAAAGATGAAGAACATTAGTCCAACTGTAAATAACAGATTGACAAACACCTGAAGAAGGCCAGCGTAGAACAGCTGAAATGTTGTGAGGATAATAATAAAGATGAAGAACATTAGTCCAACTGTAAAATAACAGATTGACAAACACCTGAAGAAGGCCAGGGCGTAGAACAGCTGAAATGTTGTGAGGATAATAAAAGATGAAGAACATTAGTCCAACTGTAAATAACAGATTGACAAACACCTGAAGAAGGCCAGAGCATAGAACAGCTGAAATGTTGTGAGGATAAAATAAAGATGAAGAACATTAGTCCAACCAAAATAACAGATTGACAAATACCTGAAGAAGGCCAGAGCATAGAAACAGCTGAAATGTTGTGAGGATAATAATAAAGATGAAGAACATTAGTCAACTGTAAATAACAGATTGACAAATACCTGAAGAAGGCCAGAGCGTAGAACAGCTGAAATGTTGTGAGGATAATAATAAAGATGAAGAACATTAGTCCAACTGTAAATAACAGATTGACAAATACCTGAAGAAGGCCAGAGCGTAGAACAGCTGAAATGTTGTGAGGATAATAATAAAGATGAAGAACATTAGTCCAACTGTAAATAACAGATTGACAAACACCTTGAAGAAGGCCAGAGCGTAGAACAGCTGAAATGTTGTGAGGATAATAATAAAGATGAAGAACAGTAGTCCAACTGTAAATAAC